AGAAAAAAAAATATGTAAAAATATACCCCTTTGTCCACGTGTGTTCCCTTGTGCACCACACCCTGTGTTTCCCTTATTCCCCTTTCCCTTCCACCCTGTTACGCCCCAACCCTAGACTGGGGTTCGTAACACCTGCTTCTGATGGAATTTAATTGACCTCTGACACTTTGGACATATTTCTTTATATTCGGGCGACTGAATTCACGGTCACTCTCATTGTGGTCTTTCCTGCGTGTTTGCATGTATATACAGTATACACTGCCATTAGCACCCCCGACAGGTGGGGTCACTTACCCCTTTTAATCACTGCTTGATTTATTTGCTTGATTCGCAAATGAAAGTGGGGCCTAAGCCTTTATTAGGAGGGACCTGATTTTAATGAAAATGAATGAGTGCACACTCTTTAAAGGAATTATTGACGGGGTGGAGGGGTAAAGAATATATTATGGGGACTAAAACCCTGAAAAATAGTCCTAGTGACCCCACTGGTGCAGAATAATCCTCGGCATTTCCATCAAATCCTTACAAGGAATAATAAAGACATTTAAGTTATGTATCTAAGATACAACAATCAGAACAACACATTTGAGTTATGTATCTAAGATACAACAATCAGAACAACACATTTGAGTTATGTATCTAAGATACAACAATCAGAACAATGTATGACATAATAATCAGAACAACACATTTGAGTTATGTGTCTAAGATATAACATTCACAACAGCAACAATAACAATAAAAAGAAATATGCTAAATGCACAAAATATACTTAAATATTCTAAATTATTCTAATTTACTAGATTCTACTGCTGCTTGCCACTTGCACTCTTACAGCGTAAGAGAGAGTCAGTACCTTCGGACACATTAGTCACCTCACCGTGAGCTTGGGAATACTTTCCAGAGTGTATACATATCAAAGGGACCACTGCCGTTAGTGTAACTATGGTGGATATATTTTATGACCTTATTAAATTAATTAAGGTGCTACTTATCATTACGGCGCAGTGGAAAAGGGAAGCCCGTCGAGGCCTGCCGCAGTCGGAGCTGGGAGCACCCATACGGAACTTATTAAATCTGGTCGGCTCTCCAAGGCTTTCAGACATAATTGTCATACATGTCATTAAATCCGTCCCCCTCTGCCCTGCTTCCGCAGTGACTTGATGGGACTGCAGCTGCGCAGACCGTCGGTTTGCAGTGCCAAGGCTGAGAGTTGTTTTCGAGAATTGAAAGTAAGTTAATAGTCTAGAGCTACACAATGTGGCCCCACGTGAAGGAAAACCAGCAGGTGGAAGAGTGTCTCTACCAATCAGTGATGTGCAGCTATTTATTTTTATTGAATATTTAATTGGTCTCTTGCAAATTACACTGAATATCCTAATATATAACAAGGGAATGAAAAGACCAAAAACAAAGTTACAGGCTACGGTAAATTTACATCAGTTTGCCTACTAATACTACAAAATTTGAATTCATAAATATAACGGCTATTCCCCAGATCTTAATATAAAAATGTAAAATTTCTGAATGGATGAATATCTAATAAAGAATTATAACAAACAATAATTAAATTCATTTGATTTTTACTCATGGGAATCGCCGAAGTAATTAATACAGCTAATCATGCATGATCTTTATACTAATTAATTCATAATTATTTTAACCTTAATTATTAAATTAATCACCTCATTGTAATTAAGACGAAAGCTAAATTTCAGCGTAATTATGTGGACTTTTGTATATTTTTTCTAGGGTACAGATTTCTGGGTGAAATTGACAGACAGGCAGTGCGGAGGTTTGACACTGTGGCCTCCTGTCTCTGGGGTTGTGGGTGTGAATTCACCCCGTCAGGTTCGTCTGCTCTGTGTGACTCCACGCATTCTCCCATCTGCTCCAGCTACTTGTCCCAAAATAACTGCTAAATCGGAAACCCCTCCCCTACAACGCACCCTCGGCTAATGCTTCAGACTGGGGGGGGTTTCCAACCTTTTGATGACCACGGACCGGGAGGCTGGTGCTGGCGGCTAAATTTGATCGGATCGATCAGCCAGATTTAATAAATGTCACCATTTCCCTTTTTTCCCAGAAGTGATCAGAACATGTGTACGGCCTGGTTTGTAAAAAAGAATTGAAAATATATAGTTACTTTGTTTTCAGAAATGAATAAACCCCTCCCCCAGCCCCCAGAGTTCCATGGCTGGGACAATACTTGCCCTTGCTCTAGACTTCACCCACATCTGGATCTGGCCATGCCTGATGCTGGAAGTGGATGGATGGACTGCGAGGCCAGGGACAGTGTAGGGGACATCCCAGACTCTACACTGTGTTCATTAGGCCTTTCAATGAAACTGCCACGGGGGTGTGAAATGAGGTGTGTAGTTCTGACACCGAGGGTCTGTGTTGAGCCACGCCCAGCGAAATCCGTCCTAATCACAGTATCGATTCCTCAAGCTTATTACTGCCGGAGGAGCATGTTTTTATTTTTTTTTCCTAGCCCCTATAGCGGAAAATAAAAAGCAACCTGATCAAAGGATATCTTCGTATTAATCTGGGTCATTAATCAGCATCGTCATGGGATTTTAGGTGTAGAGCAAGTTAACTCAAACCTAGTCTTTCAGCATCTTAGGTTGTAAGAGAATCACAACTGAATGTGAATCAAAATGCTATAGAAAATTAACCAGCGGACAAAATGGATGTTGGAACCTCACCCCAAATATGTATATACCTCACTTGATTAAAAAAAAATGCAAAGCCCATGTTTCGGTTATGGAAGGCAATGCCTGTTTTGTTTTTGCAAAGGCGGGGGCACAAGATGAATCAAAGCCCCACTGGAGGGAAAAAAATGAGGGGAAAAACGGAGAGGAGAATGACAATGAGACGTTTCCCTTGTTGGGAGACCTGTGAGACTCACCGGCTTGAAACACTATTATGTTCAACTACCAGCGGATTGTTGCATTTTACACCAGCCGTAGGACGGCCCTCTCAGTAATTATTTCACCTTGACATGCACCAGGAATAACAAATGCTGCTTTGGGATTGGAGGGCCATTGTTGCAAGCTGTTCGAAACCGTAATAACGTAGAAGTTGCGAAAACGCCACCATTTATAATATTGTCTCGCCATGTTCCTCAGATACGTGCCCCGCCACTGGGCTCTAGAGATGTCTATAGGGCGGTGTTTCCCAAGTCAGTCCTCAGGGACCCGCAGACAGTTCACGCTTTTGCTCATACTGGGAGCTGGGTGGGAGCAAAAATGTGGACCGTCTGGCAGGGAGCAAAAACGTGAACTCTCTGTTGGTCCCAGAAGAGCGGGTTGGGAAACACTGATCTAGGGTATCAGAGGGCTTTCTGCCGCTCATAAACATGTTCATTGTGGAAGAGCTTCGCTGCGGCTGAATAAATTGTAAAAACAAAAGTATGAAGCTATTTTAGCTTCTTTTTTTTCTCCCAGCCAGAACCAAACCATCTCAAAGTTTCCGGACAATTAGGCAACAGACACGCACATATACCGGTGATATGTTTGATCTGAGAAATTGCATCATTTTGCAGGACTTGCCTGCTTCCAGCAAAGCTCTAAAGGAAATGCTTCCAAACTAAATGCTTAGCTGACGCTTTAACCTCCCAGCTCAGTCACATTTATATTCAGGCTAATACACTGTTATTACTCTGTCATGCAGAGAAAACTGATAATATCTGCAGCCACATGAAGGAGACACAGTACAGGAATGCAAAACAAATGCAGTTGTATTTCAGTCTCTGATGGGTGCTGAATAAAACCTGGACTCTTTTTTTGTCATCCCATATATAACTTTCTTAATCTATCTTAAAATTGTACACGGCTCTTATCTGATACTTTGGAGATTGTATCTCTGTCCATTCATCTTCTGTTTGCTTATCCT